TTTGCTCTGAATGCCTTCAAGGCATGACTGGCTGGCTTGTGTTGTGGGGATCAAACCACAGCAACCTGGGCCTGACTGTGGAAGCAGCCACTTAAAGAACTGAGCTAAGGGGCAGGCCCCCCTGGAAGTGACTTTTACCTTACTTTTTTTTCCTAGGAGGAGACAGTTGCAGAGTTAAGAACTGTTGAGAGTGAGGCTGCATCTTACCTGGACCAGATCTCCAGGTGCGGCTGCGTGGGCGTGGCGGGGGGGTGTGGGGAGGCCTCAGCAGGTCCATAAGCTTCTGTCCGTTCTCTCCTTGCAGATATTATATTACCAGAGCCAAATTGGTTTCTAAAATAGCTAAGTATCCCCATGTGGTAAGTTAGGGTTTTGTGGTGGAGGGCGGCCTAGCCAGGCGCGAGGCACCTTCCCACAGCAGGCTGGAGACAAGCCCTGTGCCGTGTCCCTGTAGGAGGACTATCGCCGCACTGTGACAGAGATCGACGAGAAGGAATACATCAGCCTCCGGCTCATCATTTCAGAGCTGAGGAATCAATACGTGAGTCGCCATGTCCCAGCCCATGATAGAGCTGGCTCCTCTGAGAGCCCAAGGGTGGGAGTGACGCAGGTAGACTAGCTGGCGGTCTGTGCCTGTAACGCCAGCACTGTGGAGGCCCACACAGGAGGGCTGGGAGTTCAGAGTCAGCCTGGGCCCCACAGCGAGAGGCCCGTCTCTTAAAGAATCCCCTGGGGGCGGGGGAGGCTGGGGAGATGGCTCAGTGGAATAAGCGCTTCCCTGGCAAGCTCAAGGGCCTGAGTTCAATCCCCAGTTCTGCAAAAAAAAAAAAAAAAAAAGTAATTCCAAGACATCAGGCAGCTTGCTAACTCTGATGTTAATTTTAGGGGCCGGGGCGATGGCTCAGTGGAATAAATGCTTCCCTGGCAAGTGCAAGGGCCTGAGTTCAATCCTCGGTTCTGCCAAAAATAAATAAGAATCCCCCAGTAATATCTGCTCACACCCCCAGTACCTATGCCTTGAAACCAGTAAGAAAGCCTGGCTGGCGCGTCTTGCCGGGCCGGGCTCTTGTGCACGATGCAGTGTTGAGTTTCCACACGTGCATGTCAAGCTCCGACTTCCAGTCTCTAAGGTGGACTGGAGGGTTGAGTGTCTTCCACACACCAAAGTGCGCTTTTGCAGAGTGAGGCCGTTACCAGGCCTCCTGCGCCACCTGCGTGGTGCGGGTGAGTGCGGAGGGCGCCTGATCCCCGGATCCCCACCTCCCAGGTCACTCTGCATGACATGATCCTGAAGAACATCGAGAAGATCAAGCGGCCCCGGAGCAGCAACGCCGAGACGCTGTACTGAGGCCGGCCGGCGGGGCCGGGGACTGAGTCTGGCCCGAGCCCGCCGCTGCCTTGGTTGGTTGCCTGACTGTGAGGGGAGGCTGGCTGCAGTAGTGATCGCACCTCTGTTTTTAGTTAGAGTCTAATGAAGCTCATCTAGTCCGTGACGTGTTCACCTCTTTTTTCAGGCCTCAGGAACTCTTGTCTCCCTTCCTAGCCCCCGGCCGCGCTCGTGCCCACCGCAGGCGCGCAGCGTTGGCGCAGGACCGATTCCCTCCCTCACCCGCTCCCGCGTCTTAGCATTTGGTGATTGGTTGGGGGCCAGCTGAGGAACCCAAGGGGAAGTGCTAGGTGTGTTTAGGAACCAGGGTAGCCAGGAGACTGTCCTTTTCTGTCACAAGGCTGGCCCGCCGGTCGCCCTGGTCCTGCCAGAGGGCTTCCCTTCTGCACCCATCTCATGCTGACCCTTGTCTGGCAGGAGTCCCATAGGCTTCAGCCCAGACCTTGCTCCTCCCAATGTGTTTATAGCGGTGTCCACTGAGGTGCCACCGCACCCTCTGCCAGCTTCCTACACCACTTCTTGCAGCTACCCTGGGCCTCCTCCAGGAGCCCACGGTTGTCCTAGGTGCCTGCCACATAGGCTAGGGTTCCGGGCCTCCTGCCCTCTGGTGGCAGCCGCCGGGTGCCGGGGGAGTTGCGGCCTGAGTGAGCGAGTGCTGAGAGGCCGAGGCCTGGGCCTGGTCCCCACTCCCTCGGCGCTGCGCCCAGGTGGGGCCTTTGCCCGCTCTAGGCCTTCTGTCTGGGTACTGTGTGTACAGTTGTGTTTCTGGGGAAGGCGTGTGTGTGAGACACATGCTCATGGCTCTTGTGTGTGAATATGCCAGTAGGGCACAACCGTGGAAGAGTTGCTGCCTCTTGGTCGTCCAGAGAGGCCACTCACTGTCAGGCTCTGTGGGGACCCCGCCAGTCCCAGCTGTATCCATTCTGCTGCTGGGGGTCGCTGCGTGCGATCCACCCGCCCATGGCCCACGGCTCCCGTCTGATGTCGGCGCTTCCCCATGTGTGTCTTCCATGCCCCAGTTGCGTTTGCAGCCTGGGGCCTGTTGCCCCCACTCCAGATCTCCCCATAGAGCTCCGTAACAAACCAACACCCCGTCCGAGCGCTCCCTGCCTGGGTCCCCTTTCTGTTGGTTGTTCCACTGTCCCTCACCCTGCCCTTGGGATCGTAATGTAAAATTCTTTTACCATGTCAAGAAATTATTAAAAATACAGGTACTTGGACCTCTTTCTAAAGTTGCAGACCCTGTGCCATGCTCTGGTGGTGAGGGGCAGGTACACAGTGTGCTCATCCGGCCCCAGCCTGTCACCCGCCGTCCTCTCCTGCCCTTCACCTTCCACCCTCCACGCTCTTGCACGGCAGCTCGGAGACTGAGGCCCCTTCCCTCCCTAAGGGTGCCTGTTCTCAGTCTGAACCTTGTGAGGTCGGCCCCACACTGCTGCTGCCTGTGTCCTTGGGTTCCTGTGCCTGGGCTGAGGAAGGCTCAGGTCCTTCCTTCCTTTGATGCTTGCAGCTGCCAGCAGAGGGCGCAGGGTCCCCATGCAGGCTGACTGACCTGGCATGCTCCTCATGGTCCCCCGGGCTGGGTTTGTATCACTTAGCTGCCTAGGACTCCTGGCCTCCCTCAAAGTTTCCACGCCTCCTGGCACACATGGAGCTTTCTGGTGTTGGTGCTCAGCTGTTCGCATGCCGCGTTCGAGGTCCCGTTGGCCGGCGCAGCCCCTAATGTACGAGGGTCCCAACCAAGATCCTGTGGCTCAGCTGATAGCTTTGCAGTTCTGAAGGCTCAGCCCTTTACATGGCCTGAGACAGCAGCTGCAGCTAGTCTGGGTCACTGGCACAGCGAGTATTGCCCACCTGCCCAGTGTGCACTGCTGCCCGTTGGGTAAGGCCTGGCCAGGGTGGCAGACCTGTCCTGCCCCACAGTGGTTGCCAGCCCTCGTTGCTGGCTGCTTTTCCTGGAGCCTCGGACTGAGTGGGCTCAACATGGATGTGTAGTTTGACCAAAGTACAAAACCCCAGGGTGATTTTGGTGGCCAGCCTGTAGGGCGGCACTTCTTCCACCCTGTGGTGAGGGGACCAACCCTGGGTGGATGTTGGACCTACGCAGTGCCATTGTGCAGGTGTTTGCTCACAGCTTACAGGGCAAATCCCAAGGTGCTACTGGAGCTGCCCTTGTCACCGTCTGCTCTGGCCTGTGTCTTGCTGACCAGGTCTGGTGACACCAGCCAGCCTCACTGTTGTCTGCAGCCTCCACCTGGCTCCCATGAATCCCAACCCTGGTTGCCCTTTGTAAGAGCCAAGCCAGGAGCAGCTGTGATGGGCTGCCTGACCGTGGAGCTGGGGCTGGGCTTGGTGGGTGTGCCCCTGGGCACTTGCATTTACTGGGTGGAGCTGCAGCTGCTCCCTAAGGTCTCAGCCTTAGCCCACCTGGATGGAGGGGGATCCCCACCTGTCGGGTGGCCCCCAGCCCACCCCAACATGAGCAAGCTGGTGGTGGGGCCACTGCCCTGGCCATCTTATGTGCAAGATGTTAGCAAGGAGCGCCTTGCGGCGGTCCCCTGCCCTGTTACCCCATGCAGGGAACTGAGTTTGTGCAGATGTGGAGCCATTCAGAAGAGGTGGTGTCTGTGCCTCCCAGGTCAGCTTCCTACTGCAGTTGCTCTGCCCTGACACCACCCACGCCACCTCCAGAGGCTTGAGCTATGCGACTGGCCGGGCTGCCTGGATTCAGTGCTTCCTCCGTTCTGTGGGCTGGACAGGCTGTGAGCCCAGCGCCACGCCTTCTGGGCCGTCCAGCAGGTGTCCACCTTGGCTGCTACTGGGCAACCTGGGCCAACTGAGTGGGGGTGCAGGGCAGGCTAGCTGGGGGGTCAGAGCCTCTGTCCAGCCTAGAGGCAGCCTTGTTCCTTAAATCTTGGGTCCTGGGTTATGTACCCCTCTCCAGTTCTCACTGCAGGGCTCCTGGTGCAGCATGTGGGGGCACTCGATGGTGTCCCCACTCTAAAACTCCACCTTTGGCCAAGGTGTGTTCAGTGGTCTGAGGATGATGTCTGGTTTCAGAGCAGGCAAGTGGCCTTCCAGGTCACCGTCCAGGAGCCCAGCTGTCTGTAGCCCTTACGCATCTGAGACCGTGGTGCCCGGATGTTTGTATAGCACCTGTGGGCTCAGCTGTAGCCACCGGGCCGAAGCAGGATTAGACAGCCCCACCTGACCACCCTGGTGGGTGCCTGCTTGCAGGGGCCGGGGCAGCTGTTCCCGTGGGCTGAGTGCGTGCTGGAGGAGGCCCATTGCCTGCCCAGTGACTCGGAGCCATTTCTGTCAGGACTTGGCTGACTCGTCCCTTGTGGTCTGGTCTGTATCCTCCATGGGGAGCGCTGACCACATAAGGGATTGTGTACTGTACCCTGCGGGGTATTGGGGGACAAGTCCACACCATGGGCTGCGTCAACACAGCTCAGCACTGGGCGAGACAGCCTCTTTGGGAACCAAGTGGGGGCTGAGTGCGGGGCAGTGCGCCCACATGCCTGCCTTCCGCCTCAAGATGGGCCTGGCTATGGCAGGTGAATGCTGGGTGCGGACGGAGGGAGGGGTGGGGTGGAGGCGCTCAGATCTGGCAGCGGTGCAGGAGAGCCGCCCTTGGGCTGTGCCAGCTGCTGGGCCCTGCCTGCCCCACTCCAGCCGTGCAGCCTGTTGTGCAACTGGTTGACAATGCTCATGTGTTTTGCTTCAGCCTCCAGGCCACCAGAGGCCACCCTGTGGAGCGAGTTGGCCCTACGAGAGACCGCACAGGCAGGAGAAGGCACTTGGCCTTTTGCTCACTAATTCAGAGGGTTGGAAAGCAGGGCAGACACAGGAGGGTGGACGAGAGTGTGGGGCACTGTGGCTGGGGGCTGCAGTGAGTGCCCCTCGTGGGAAGAGCGGCCTGTGCCTTGGCACTGCGATGCAGAGGTGTGGGCACTGGCTGAGGGTTTGCTGTTTTGAGTATGGAGGGGATATCTCAAGGGGATCCAAGCTCAGAGAGGACCTGCAGCACTTGGCTGATTCTGCCAAGACAGAAAAGCCCATCAGATTACAGACTTGGGCAGAACACGAGTTAGAAATCCGTGTGGGCCTGGCCTTACACCTAGGGAAACTGAGGAGGCCGGAAGGGACTGCTGGGGATAATGCCATGAAAGGAAGTGGACTTCTCTGGAGCGTTGGGCCTGCAGCAGCTTGGGGTGGGGATGAGGAAGGGAACAAGGATGCAGTCCAAGCTGTCTTGTTCTTGGGGCTGCTCTCTGGCACACTGGGCTGTGGTGGCTTCCCAGCTGGAAGTCTTGCAGTGTCGCTGGCACTGAAGAGCCTCTCGGGAAGTCACACTGGGTGACAGTGACTGGGTTGCAAAGGTGTGTGGCACAGGCTCCAGCTGTGGGCTTTGAGTGGCCACAGTTAAGGGGCAAACTCTCCTGCTCTGTGGGGGGAGGGTGACAGTGCTGCCTGGGATGGCACTGCCTGTGGCACAGAAGGCCCCAAGGAGCTCCCAGGCAGTGGACGCAGAAATCAGCTTCCATTCCCAGAGACTGGAAGTGCCTGCTGTGGGGGGTGGGGAGCAGAAGGCCAAGTCTGCGGGCTGGACAGAGATGTGGACGAATGGGTGGGGACTGGGTTTTCCCAGCGGGCTTCTCCACGACAAATCCCCTTCGCCATTCCAGGCAGCACTGTCACAGCTCAGCTTTCGTTAGCCTGGGCAACGCCTCGGACTCAGCCCCCAGGCTCCTGGGTCTCAGTGCTAGAACCTTCTGTGACGGTGGCAGTGTTCAGTACCATGATATTCTACGAGACCCTCTGGCTGTATGCAGCAAGGAGCACGCTAAGGCTGTGTGATTGGAGGACAGAAGGGGTGTGTGTGTGTGTGTGTGTGTGTGTGTGGTACTGGGGATTGAACTGAAGACCTTGTCATTGCTAGGCAGGTGCTTACTCTACTGAGCTATCTCCCCAGCCCAAGTAGCTCAATTTTCTTTTGGTAGTGTCTCAGTGACCCAAAATGAAGGAAGGAAAGGCTTAGCTCACAGTTACTGGAGGTTTCAGCCCATACTCAGCTGGCTCCAAGGCGGAACAGCACATGGCACAGAGCAGCAGTTCATGGCAGCAGAAGGCAGCAAAACAGCAAAGGAAGGAGTAGTGGCGACAGCGGCAATGAAGAAGTCCCTTACGTTGCCCTCAGGCTACCTGCCCCAGGCTGGGAATAGTACTCACACCCATAATCCCAGCAGCACTCACAGCCCAGGGGATCATGAGTTAATTACAAACTCTAGAAGTCTGTCCCGTGACTGCATGAGGCTTTGGGGGGACAAATACACACAAACCATAACAGGTAGTTTGGAGTCAGGGTCTCACTCTGTAGCTCAGGCTGGCTTTGAACTCCTAGCAGTTGATCCTCCTGCCTTAGCCTCCCAGGTGCTGTGGTTACAGGTGTGTGCCATCACACCCGGCTGAAATTATGATTTAAATAGCTGCATGGGACGTGTCCTACTGGACAAGGCCAGATAGAAGCTGGGCTAGTGCTGGCCCAGCCCTCCCAGCTCCAGCACGGGTGTGGGCAGGGATCTGAGTGACCCACTGCCGTGGACGTGGCTGGGAAGACGAAGGGCCTGTGAGTGACTTGACTGGCACAGAGCCTCCCTCTCTCCTCTCTGCAGGATCTGTGGCCTGGGAACGGCCGCTACCTTCGTGCTCCCCAGGCGAGGACAGCCCCGCACAGGGAGGTGGGGAGGAGTGGGCTTCGTGCCCTGTGACACCTGTGAGGAGGAGCCCTCCGTTACCTCCCCTGCCAGCATCCACCCCATGGCCTGCACGCCGCCTGGTGGCCTGGGCCTCCCAACTGTCCCCTTTCTCTTGGCAAGGTCTAGCCTCCATGACCCTAGCCTCGGTCACCCTGATCTGATCACACTTGCTCCTAGTCCTGAGGAGACAGGTCCCACATGGAAGCCCCACACATCCCTGGTGAATTCTTTCTGCCAGTTTTGTTCTTTGTTTTGAGGCAGGGCATTGCAATGTGCCCCGGTTGGCCTTGAATTCCGGGGGACCCTCCTGCCTCAGTCTCCGAGTGCTGGGATTATAGACGTGTACCACCACAGCCAGCACTGCTCAGTTTAAGTGCCAGATTTATGAAAGCTATTTTGCAATATTCATGCAGAAAGCACCGATCCTCCCCTAAGAACTAGCTGGTGTTCACGGGGTGCCAGATGTTCCCTGGAGGACAGGCCTTCTCGAACCCATGACCCCGAGATTAAGAGTCTTATGCTCCACCGGCTGATCTAGCCAGGCACCCTTAGGACAGGCCTTCTGAAGGAGCGGGTGTTCTGTGAAAGTCCTAAGAAAAGGTCTTCCAAGAACTTCCCTTGAGTTGATTCTGGTTGGCTTTTTAAGTGTCTACAGCACCCCTGGGAATATGAAGGAACCAGGCCAAGAAAATCAGCAATGCAGGAGACAGCCAGAAGGGCCCTGGCCAAGGAATGCGGCTCAGCAGCCAGGGGCTGGGGTGGGGGAGGGTCCCAGTGACAGCAGAGCACGGCTGCCCCTGGCAAGCAGAGAGGAAGCAGCAGGCTGGGGGTTCCGGGGCTTCAGGGGAACCCAGCCTTCCTGGGGGTGGGTGGAGGCCCCCAGACGCTGCACCCCTTACCCTAGCCCCAGCCCTGCCCCTGAAGGCAGCGCCTGGGACTGAGAGGACCAAGCCATGTAGGGTCTGTGGAAATCAACAGCGCCCAGGCCCGCCCCCGCCGGCCTCCGCCCCGCCGGCCTCCGCCCCGCCCCACCCTGCTTCCTTCCCACCCCCAGCCTTAGCCAGCTGCAACCCCTGAGAACCCAGCCTGAAACGAAGCCCTCACTCCGGCAGCCCCAGCCCCACCAGCACGGGCTGGAACACAGCACCAGACAGGACAGCCAAGCTCCTCACGGGACCATGAACCAGAAGACGACCCTGGTGCTCCTGGCACTGGCGGTCATCACCATCTTCGCCTTGGTCTGTGTCCTGCTGGCCGGCAGGAGTGGAGATGGTGGCCAAGGCAGCCAGCCAACCCCGTGCCATACAGCTGCACCCCTTGTCTGGCCCAAAACGCACCCCGACCCTGGCCGGCTCTTTGCAGACCTGAGCACGGAGGAGCTGGCAGCCGTGATGGGCTTCCTGAGCCTGCGGCTGGGGCCGGGCCTGGTGGATGCGGCCCAGGCACGGCCCTCAGACACTTGCGTCTACTCGGTGGAGCTGCAGCTGCCCCCCAAGGCCGCGGCCCTGGCCTACCTGGATGGAGGGGGACCCCCGCCCGCCCGGGAGGCACTGGCCATCGTGCACTTTGGGGCTCAAGCCCAGCCCAACGTGAGCGAGCTGGTGGTGGGGCCACTGCCCCAGCCTTCCTACCTGCGGGATGTCACCGTGGAGCGCTACGGCGGCCCCCTGCCTTACTACCGGCGCCCCGTGCTGCCCAGAGAGTACCAGGCCATCGACCGCATGATCTTCAGCCGCGAGCTGCCTCAGGCTGCGGGGCTTCTCCACCACTGCTGCCTCTCCACACCCCACGGAGGCCAGCTGGTGACAGTGACCACAGCGCCCCGGGGCCTGCAGTCAGGGGACCGGGCCACCTGGTTTGGCCTCTACTACAATGTCTCAGGCGCTGGTGTCTTCCTGAACCCTATAGGGCTGGAGCTGCTGGTGGACCATGCGGCCCTGGACCCGGCCCGCTGGACCATCCAGAAGGTGTTCTTCCAGGGCCGGTACTACGACAGCCTGGCCCGGCTAGAGGACCAGTTTGAGGCTGGCCTGGTGAAGGTGGTGGAGGTGCCCCACAATGGCACCAGTGGGGCGTGGTCCCTGAAGCCGCAGGTGCCCCGGGGCCCGGCTCCTCCTCTGCAGTTCCACCCCGAGGGACCCCGCTTCGGTATCCACGGCAGCCGCGTGACCTCCCCCTTGTGGACCTTCTCCTTTGGCCTTGGAGCCTTCACTGGTCCGAGGGTCTTTGACATCCGCTTCCAGGGTGAGAGGGTGGCCTACGAGGTCAGCGTCCAGGAGGCCTTGGCTGTCTATGGGGGAAATTCCCCAGCAGCAATACTGACCCAGTACTTGGACGGCAGCTTTGGCATCGGCAGGTTCTCCACGCCCCTGACCCGCGGAGTGGACTGCCCCTACCTGGCCACCTACCTGGACTGGCACTTCCTGGTGGAATCGCAGGCCCCCAAGACCATCCGGGATGCCATCTGTGTGTTTGAACAGAACCAGGGCCTTCCACTGAGGCGACACCACTCAGATTTCTACTCCTATTATTATGGGGGTGTTGTGGAGACAGTGCTGGTGTTCAGGTCTGTGGCCACGTTGCTCAACTATGACTACGTGTGGGACGTGATCTTCCACCCCAACGGGGCCATCGAAGTGAAAGTCCACACCACGGGCTACATCAGCTCCTCGTTCTTCTTCGGTGCCGCCCACCGCTATGGGAGCCGGGTTGCAGAGCACACTCTGGGCACGGTGCACACCCACAGCGTCCACTTCAAGGTGGACCTGGATGTGGCAGGTACGACATCCTGTGGGAATGAGGGGCTGAATAATTGTCCCCATTTGCTTGCTTTTTGTGTAGTTTTTCCAGGAAAGAGACTTGGGTGTCGTGCTGCCTTCATGGGGCATGGGAGTGAGTTGGCATCAGGGTGCTCAGCCTGCCGGACTCTCTCAGCAGCCTCCTTAGACAATCCTGGGCGCTGGCTGAGCTCGGGCCAGAAGCAGCAACAGGAGCGCAGGGCGGCCAGTGCCTCCATCCCGTGCTGCCCACCTCCCCTCTGCGCCTGTCTGGGTGCTGTGGAGCAGAGGACCCGGGCAAGTCTGCCTGGCCCAGGCCAGCGCGGGGTGACCTAGCTGGTGGGTGTTTTCTGGGGGTGGAGCCTCCACCTCCCTGATTTGCTGCCCACCCTCACATGTGTGGGTGGGGCGGGCTCCATGCAGAGTTCTTGGGCGTCTCAGGGCTTTGGGGCAGGGCACAGGTATTTCATCTTTGTCTTCCTTCTTTCCTTCTCTGCACTGAGTTCAGCATCCGATTGTTTTTTCTGTTCTCCTTCTACAGTAGCCCTAGACCCTCTCGGGTCCTACTGCCGCAGCACTAGGTTGGTGTCACGTTCTCTCTGACTGAGGCGCGCTGTGCTCTCAGACGCAGGGCTGCGCTGTGCCCAGAGGCCCTGGTGCCAGCTGCTGTGCACCCGGTTTGGCGTCCTCCAAGGCGGAATGAGGCCCCTTGCCTGTGCGGATCATGGCTGTGCCCTGCCCCATGTCCCTGGCATGTAGCCCGCCACTGTGCTGGCCTTGGCCTCCTCTGCCGTGGCCTTCTGCCTCATCTCCTTGGGGACTGTCCTTAGGGCCAGGCTGAGAAGTGGTCCTGGAGGACGCCACCCCAGGCACCTGTGCCCCAGTGTCCCGGCACTGCCCTTCCCAGAGCCTGTGGTGGCCTGGCCGAGCTCTGCCTGTCTTGCGGGGAGGAGGGATGTGTGTCCCTTGAGCTCTGTCCCCAGCAGTGAGTACAGTCTTCCTGCTAAAGAATTTTGCAAGGACACATGAGGGAAATCCTTCCTGAACTGTTTCTTTCTTTCTTTTTTTTTTTTTTTCCTGAACTGTTTCAATGTGGGGACAGCATGGGTGGAGGGGTGGGGTGCCGGGCGCCTAGGCCTCTCTATGGCCCCCTACTCTGACGCCACTGGGGCGCGTGCTGTCCAGAGGGGCCCAGTGGTACCTGACCTGCGCCATGCACCCTACAGGACCAGAGAACTCAGCCTGGGCTGAGGACCTGGCTTTTGTCCCCTCAACCGTGCCCTGGCGCCCTGAGCAGCAGATGCAGAGGTTGCAGGTGACGCGCAAGCTGCTGGAGACAGAGGACCAGGCCGCCTTCCCCATGGGCAGGCCCGCCCCGCGCTACCTGTACCTGGCCAGCAACCGCAGCAACAAGTGGGGGCGCCCGCGGGGCTACCGCTTGCAGCCGCAGGGCCCCGTGGGGGAGCTGCTGCCCCAAGACAGCTCCACAGCGGCGGCTTTCAGCTGGGGACGGTGAGCGTGTGATCAGGGCCAGGGGGCAGGTCGGGGGCCTTGGAAGGGGCATGGGAAAGAGGCCCAAGGGTATCCAAGGGTGTGGAGCCCCCAGGGTGGGCACAGTGCCCACTTCTTTTGGAGGGCAGAAGAAGAGGGCAGGACTATGTGCTGTGTGGTGACAGGGAAGGACAGGGATAGGACTTGCAGCACGGCCTCAGGGCACTGCAGTGGCTGTGTGGAGGCCACGCGATTGCTTGTTACCCTGCACAGTGGTCAGGCCACAGCAACACAGGATCAGTGACCACTGTCCCCACAGGTACCAGGTAGCTGTGACCCGGCGGAAGGAGGAGGAGCCCTGCAGCTCCAGCATCTTTAATCAGAACGACCCCTGGACCCCTACCGTGAATTTCGCCAGTTTCATCGACAACGAGACCATCATGGAGCAGGTGAGTGGACCCTTCAGGGGCACAGGTGGGTGCATGCAGGGTCCCAACACCTCTGGCCTCTGGGTGGTGCAGACCAAAGGTCATGGGGGGATTTTCCTGAGCTGGGAGCTCACGCAGACTCCACTGAGGCCTCAAGCTGGGATCCAGGTGCTGGATCCCCATGAATCCCAGCCACGTGGACTGGTCCATTCGGGGCCCAGGACTTGGGAAGTGTGCATATCCTGAGCCCCAGCCTCCTGCACTCCTTCTGGGACCAGGAAGCTGATTTCTCTGTGGCATCCGGCTTGGGCCTCCTGAGCCCTGATCGCTGATCATGTCCCCACCCCTATCCCTGACAACAGTCTGGAAGCTGGTGGGGGTGTGTGTCCTGGGTGTGACCACAGGGCAGGGCAACAGGATGGGAAGTGTCCAGGAGGCACGCGCAGGCAGGCAGGGGAGCCAGGGGCTGCTTCTGATCGGAAGTGGACTCGGCGATTTGGCTTCTTGGCCGGAGGAAGAACTGTGTGGACTCAAGATTCATGGGAGGCAGGCATGGGAGGCTGAGGCCAGGCTGCTGGACAGGTCACTGTGGGAGGCGGGCGCAGCCCTGGCAAAGCTGGGCCTCAGGGTTGCCTTTCCTCTCCCCTGCCAGGACCTGGTGGCCTGGGTGACAGCTGGATTTCTGCACATCCCACACGCAGAGGACATCCCCAATACAGTGACAGTGGGCAACGGGGTGGGCTTCTTCCTGCGGCCCTACAACTTCTTCAGTGAGGACCCCTCCTTCCGCTCTGCTGATGCTGTGTACTTCCGGGAAAGTGACGATGCTGGCGCCTGCGAACTCAACCCCCAGGCCTGCCTGCCCCGGGTTGCCGCCTGCGCCCCCCGCCTCCCTGCCTTCTCCCACGGGGGCTTCTTGCACCATTAGGTGCATGTGAGGGACAGACCAGCCTGACTCCCCATGTCCTTCCTCAGCCCTGCTTTCCCCTGCATGGCCTGCCTCCTCTGGGGGCACCTGAGCCCGGGGTGCCCACGAGGGAAGAGGGGGCGGCCTCGCCAGAGCCGAGTGGTGGCCAGGCAGTCCCCAGATGAGTCCCTGTTATGCTTTCTGGCTTTTCAAAGCACTTTAGGCTGCCTCTCAGGACTGCACGGTGGGCTCACCCCCAGGAGCCCCAGGGCAGGGTCTCCCATCCTCCACTCCCCGAGGGGGGCAGGGACCCTGTGCCCTCGCCCTCTAGGCCACAGCCTTGCCCTGGCTGAGCCCCCTCCAGGTCCTGAGGGATGTCCCCAGTCCTCAGTTCTCAGCTACAGTCTCTTCTGGCTCTGAGCCTGAGAAGTCTCACAGATGCCAGGGCCACTGCATGAGCAAGGGTGATCCATGGTGGCCTGTCAGGCCCTCCATCTGTGAGGAATGGAGTCATGCTGACCTGGTCCCGCTGGGGCAGGAGGTGTTTGTGGATGCCTCTCTGTCTGCTTCCTGCCTCCAGCTCGTTGAGAGCAGCAGTTAGTGCTGCAGGTGATGCTGGGAGTGCAACCAGCAAGAAGACTGGCCACTGAGTGCCGGGCCCACAGGTGACCGGAGCAGCACTCGGGGTGGGGGAGGGCTGGACAGGAACCACAGGTGGGCGCCTGGGGCCAGAAGCAGGAAGTCCTGGGACTCCGCCCCCTGGATCAAGACTGACCAATTGCCTGCAGGCATGCAAATAAGCTGGGGCCTGGCATCTGCTGGGCCCTCCCTAGTCTGCACTGACGAGGGGAACAGAGGGGACCGTCCCCTCCAGGCTGACCACGCCACACAATGCAGCTAGCAGCTTGTCCTCTGCCTTTCTATGCTTGGGGCATCATGGTCCAGTGCGAAGGAGAAGTGCAGGATGTGCAAACGCACATCTAGTGTGTCAAGTTGAGATCAGTGTACACTGCCCCACCAGTTAGGAGGACGAGGAGGAGGACAGAGGTGCACACTGCTGCCGTCGGGAGGAGGGGGAGGAAGGGGAGGAGGGAGAGCAGGGGGAGGAGGGGGAGGGGGGAGGAGGAGCACGAGGAGGAGGAGACCGCGAGCGCCACTGTCCTTCACTGGAGGAGCGCTATGCTACACGGATACGCTTGGGAGGGGGGCCAGGCAAGCCCCTCTACGTTGTCAGCCTTGATCATGTGCCTGCACTGCTGAGTCAAATAAATAATAAATGGGCCGAACAGATCAAAACTGGCTTCTTCCCCCCTGCCATGCTTGGGAACTGGCGGATGAAGAGTGTGGGTTAAGGGAGAAGCCCAGTTCCCACGTTCTTGACCCTGAGAGAAGTAAGTGTGGGTTCGAGAGCCTGCCTGCTTTCCTCTCCCTTCCCTTCTCCTCTGCCTCTCTCTCTCTCTCTCTCTCTCTCTCTCTCTCT